GTCTCCTGTTATGTTTAATTCACACATTTGACACATTACTGAATAACAACGCCTCTGTGTCTGAGCCTTATATTGGACCTTCTTCAACACTGTGCTACTGTTATCCTGTAACTTTTCCTTTTTCCATCTCTCCTCATTTCCCTTAAGCTCATCATTTTTTTTTAATTTCATGTGTTTTCCACATTTAGGCTTTTTTTTTAAATTTTATTTATTTGTGTGTGTGTGTGTGTGTGTGTGTGTGTGTGTGTGTGGCCGGCTCAGCCCACCAGGGTCGGGGCTGGCTGGCATGTGGTGCTGGGGATTGAACCGTGGTCCTTGTGCTTTGCTGAGCTTGTTCTAAGTAGGTGCTTTAGACCACTGAGCCATCTCACCAGCCCAAGCTCATCAATTTTTAAAGTGAGCTAATTTCATTAAGCTGTGCAATTTTGAAGGTAGCTCCCCGACCTGGGCTGGGGTGAGGGCTTGCCTACTCTCGTTTTGTGTCTGCTTCTTTTCAGGATGGTCCGTAATTTACTCTGGTGAGTGTTTCTTTTCTCATTACTTATTTAATTATCTCTATTCTGGGTAACCCCAGCATTTGAACTATTCCTCCAAACTGGTCTCAGGTTGGCATCAGTTTCCTATACTGGGAAAAGTGGGCGTGAAGTTTCCATTTTATTATGAAGATGCACCTACCCTCCTTGCAAACCTTCCTAGCCTTAGTCTTTATCATCTTTGAACCCCTCCAACACCTCTGGGGGTAGCTTCAGGCACTGTCCTCTGTCTGAAGGTTTTACCTCAGCTGTGAGCTGCTTCTCTTCCTGCAGTGGGGCGGAGATGTGGTCTCTTTCCCAGGCAATGCTCCATCTTATTGAGTGCCTGAATAGTTGTCATCTCCCTTTCTCTGGGGGCCAGCTTCCTCGATGGAATTTGCTTCCTGAGTAAGAGCAAGTAATATTTTTTAAAATTATATTTATCTATAGTTTTTAATTATTTGTAGGAGGGTATTTATCCTACTCCGGCTTTCTAATTTTATTTTAGTCCTAATACTGGCTACCCCTTCTCTCCCTTATGCACAAATGCAGGAAGTAAGATTTAAAGGCGTCTGATTAAGTCAGTGAACCATGCTTGTTCTCATCAACACACTGAATCCACTGGGTTACTTTATTCATTTTAACTTGCCACTGTTAAGCCCTTGACATTGTTTTGTGCATTTAGTCGTGAGAGCCCACACGTCACTCCCCGCCTGAACTCCCAGCTCACCCACTTGCTTCTCTTACCAGCCTCTCTGATGGCCAAGTCCAGTTTGTCTATGCTCCTTTGATTACCAACATTCATCCTCTCCCACAGACCTGCTAAATGATGAAAATTGTTAAGAAACAAATCCAAGTGTTCCTCCCTGCCTAACAGCTTCCTATCCTAGCTTCCATTGCCTATAGACAAAAATCCCTTCAGGATAATTCAAAAGATGCCCCATGATGTTCTGCCTCCCAGCTACAACTGTAGTTTATTATCCATCCACTTTCATTATTTCAAGATTCTGGCTTGTGCTCTCTTGCTTGCTAGATGTGATGGCTTGTATCTAAACATCACCCTGAAGACTCGTGCACTCAGTGGTGGGGATTTTCTGGGATGACTGCATCCACGGTGTCATGCTGGGATTAAGGATGCTCCATCCTGGTTATCAGTCTTCCTCCCAAAGGGCGAGTAGTTAAGATGAAATGCAAAGACAGTGGTGCTTGCTTGCTGCTGCTGCCTTTCTGGCTCATTTCTTGCTGCCCTCTGCCTGCCCTGCCTCACCATGACTCTTTCTCCTCTATGATGTCACTCTGCTGTGCTACCCCACTCTGGTTCCAACCAATCATGGACTAAAACCTCTAACAATTCCAAGCTAAATAAACCTTTTGCCCTTTAACTTCAGGTGTTGGGTATTTTGTCTCAGCAATGAAAGAAAGAACTAAGACACTAGATAAATGTGTTTATGAACAGCTAAAATAAACACCAAAGGTTTTCAAAGTAGAGCCTTGGAATCATGGTCTCATATAGGAATTTACTAGAAAAGCAGATTTTGGAGTCATCCTTTTGGATCAGAAAACCTGGAGCAGCACTTCCTAAACCCTGCTGGCACAGTACCCCCGGGCCTGCTGATGTACCCCACTATTGCAGAGCCAGTTCCATGGTCATTTGTGGTGCTGGAAGACCCTCATTTCCCCGCCTCAGCAAGCTGCTTCCCAAGCTTCAGAACGAAGATTGAAAATCGCTTTCATTTAGGAAAAATGAAAGCTCAATCAGACAAGGCCTCCTGGCTGTAGTCACTGCTGGTAAGGGGGCATTTCTTGACAATCAGGGTTATCTTGTCCTTTGCTTCCAAATACCTTTTATTAATAAAGCAAGGGTCCCATGGGAAATCACTGGTTCTGAGAAAGTAGGGGCTTTCATAGCCTTTCTGCCATGCATACTGGACATGGGCCACGAATTAAATGATGCACACGTGGTGTGAATAGTATTTTGCTTTAAAGATGGAAATCAGATCGCCCCAGTCCATTTCACATTATTTTCCAGGAAAATTTCCCAAGTAAATTAATATCAAAAAAGTGAACTACACATCTTATTTTATGGTTTCAAATATTTTGTTCATGAACATAAGTTTCCTCATGCTGTGTGTGTCCAAATATGTGTGTTTATTATGTTCTGCTTTTTTTGATATTTCCGAGTCAATCATTAATATGCACATGTTGTGAACAGAACTGTACTATTGAAATAATTTTAACCCAGGACAGAGTCAAATTTCAGTGTATACCATGTGTGGTAGAAATGTTACAAGCTTTAAATTTACTTCCTTCTTCCTATTTCTATTCAATTTCTGTTTTCTGTCAATCATCAATTACCTTTGCTACTGTTTTTTGCCTGTTGCTGTTTGCTTCAGCTACTTTACACATTAGGAGAAGGAGATCAAGAGACAAAGGGAAGAGGAGGAGAGAGAGAAGAGAAAGGGACCAAGAATGAGGAATTCCCAGCTGCACACCAGGGGTCTAAGCGTTATGTGCTACAAACATGTGCTATGATAAAGACAAATTTTGTTTAATTTGACTGAATATTTCTTTCTTTGACTAAAATTTACTTCTTTAGAACACTTATTTTGTACATTTGCTTTTCCTTTATTCGCTTAGCATTTTGATGATTCAAGTACCAATTTCTACTTCTTACACTTTGATACCTCTAATTCTATTCTTGTGTATTTTGTAATCTTCTCTTCAAACTTTTGGTACCAGAATTTATTTTTCAGGTTTTTAACTCTTGCTTTATCTATGAATCATTTTTTTTTTACAGATTTTGAAAGCATGTCTTCAAATTTTATGCATTATTTATCAGTGATATCTTTTGAGCATCTTTTAGACATTATTTATCAAGGATAAGTTTTAAACATCTTTTTAAAGATATTTTTATTTAAAAAAAGCAGTGTGCTGCTAGTTTCAATAGAAAATTCAACATGAGGAGCAGTTCACACTGGAATGTTTTCTTCTGGTTCCCTCTGCATGTGACCCTCCATGTTCTACACACACACACACACACACACACACACACACACACACAATGTCATTCTGTCACCTACCCATCAGGATATGTGTATGTTAAGCATTGTTAAATGAAATCAGTGTGTGCCAAGAAAATCACTGACACTCAGATGTAGCGGTGCAACATGGACTGTGCCGTGGGCTGCAGAAT